TATCCCTGTGCCTTTAGCCTCGGAGTAAGGTGAAGTAAGTTAAGCAAACACTCCTTGAATAATTAACATGTGCAGAGATAAGCAGGTAACCCCAAAACAATGGAGACAGGAACAGAGTGAAGACAGGGAGGATAGGATTTTTTCTTTTGACTTTATTTACCTGATAAGCTCAAATGACAAGGTGAGATTTTTGCTTGTGTGTTTTTACCAAATACAGGTTTTATGTGTCCATTTCAATGTGATTTTAGGCTGTTTTTGGCTTTATCCAGTAGTTCAGTTGCCTATGTCATTTGGATACTGTCAACTGATAAAGTTTTTGAAGTGTTTGTGTTGAATACTGCAGGATATTTCAGGCTTATTCTGTAGATAATCTGGCCTAATCATAGAATCAGGCTTTTTTCCCCTAATAACATACCTTTAATTACAGAATGCTGTTCAAAACAAGATCTGCTAGCTACAAGTACTTCTTGGCAATGAAATGGTTTTGCTTATAGGCCCTCTTGGCAAACAGACCACAGACAAACACACAACTACAATTTTTTAATGTAACCATCTGTACCTAAATTTGGCTAAACATTACCTCACATTGATGTCTCCCTCAATACCAATCAATCACTACCTTTTGTCTAGTCCCCACACAAATGCACTAGGAAAAAACTTGGCTTCACTACCCCCATCCATGTATATATTTTTTCTTCCACAGTACAAATATCAGGAGGATCAGAAGTTCATATTGCACCCGTTTCGTATGTTTGACATCTAAATAGTGTGTATGTGCAGTTCTCACTTTAATGTTTAGGACCCCCTTGTTTCCAAAGTTGCTTAATGCTGTATTCCTGCTCCATCTCCACCTCCCAGAGATGCACTGTGATGTACCTGTAAGACGTGCTCCTCTTCTCAGAGTCAGCATTGCTTCACAGGACCTCCAGACACTTAAATGTTATTAATGATATTAATATAACTCCATTTCCTTAAAAAGTCTAAGACTTTTATTGTTACACTATTTTCCTCTGTACAATTTGATACTTTTTATCCTTGAAGAAGTTGGTTACTTTCACTAAGTTATGAAATTTGGAAATACTGAATTGCTGGAGAATGTCTTTGTATTTTTCCCATGCTCACTGGTGCAGTGAGAATAGTCTCTTATTTTTGTTGATAACTTATGATAGAGATATAAATTAACATACATGTATCTTTTCACAATCTCAAAATTTATTGAATAATAATGAATCACAAGGTGGTATAGTGGTTGCCAAGTACTGACTTGTGTTGGTTTGAGTAAGAATGGCCACCATTGGTTCATATATTTGAGTGCTTACTAACCAGGGAGTTTGAAAGGATTAGAAGGATTTGAAGGTATGGCCTTATTGCAGTAGGTGTGGTCTTTTTGGAGGAAGCATGACACTGGGGATGAGCTTTGAGATTTCAAAAGCCCATTCTAGCCCCAGGTTCTCTCTTTCTCTGCCTATGGATCAGGCATACTGTTCCAGTCTACTGTTCGAACATCTGCATGCATGCCACCATGCTTCCTGCCATGATGATAATAAACTAACCTTGTAAAAGTGTAGGCAAGCCCCCAATTAAATGCTTTCTTTCATAAATTTCCTTGGTCATGGTGTCTCTTCACAGCAATAGAACAGTGACTAAGAAACCTTAGTTTCTTTGCTGCAATAAAACACCATGACCAAAAGCAGCTTGTGGAATAGAGTTTAGTTCCCTTATATGTCCACATCACAGTTCATTTTAAAATATAGTGAGGGCAGGAGCTCAAACAGGCAGGAACTGCTGAAGAAGCCATGGAGGAACACAGCTTACTGGCTTGTTCCTCATGACTATCTGAGCCTGCCTTCTTGTACAAGTCAGGACCAGCAGCCCAAAGACAGTATCCATAGTGAACTATGTCCTTTCACATAAATCACCAGTCAAAAAAAAATGTATCACAGGCTTTCTCAAGAAGCCAATCTTTTGGGGTCATTTTCTTAACTAAGGTTCCCTAGCCAGTGTACAATCCATCTTTACATATTGTCTTTCTCTTCCAATAGATCCACTGCTTGCTATTTTTAAAATCATTCTAACATCTGACATGAATTTTGTTGCTTACTTTTCCCCTGCAAACTATCCTGTTATTTTCTTCTTGTTTTTCAGCAGAACATATAGATTTTATTAAATAGAATGGGCATAACAGATTGAAGAATAGGTGTACAATTAAATAGATCATTTCTTTTTGGACTGGGTCACCCAGTGTGTAGGCCATGCTGGCTTCAAACTCAGAGATCCTCCTGCCTACATCTCCTAAGTGCTGGGATTAAACGCTTGTGCCACCACACCAGGACCAAATAGATCATCTTATTTTAAATTTGTGTGTGTTGTATGAATTGTGTACTTGTATGTGTGTGCATGCTATGGGATATGTGTGGAGGCAGGAGGACAATTTTAGGTATTGGTCCTTTCCTTTCACCTTGTTTTGAGACAGAATCTCTCTTTTGTTGTTTATTGCTGTGTGCACTAGGCAAGACAGCCCATATGTTTGCAGAGATGCTCCTTTCTCCATCTCCCATCTCACCAGAAGAGTGCAGGCATTGTGGACTAAATTCAGTTATTAAAATAAAATACGAAGAGAGATAAACATTCTAAAAATGGCATTATGAAAAGAAATTTGTACTTACTGGACCAAGTGTCATGAATTTTAAACAAGTGTAATATAACAATATCCTGAATAAGCATGCATTATAAATACTAGCCATAAGCAAAACCAGCTAATAAGTGGATTTCGTTCAGCACGTTGGACAGAGCTCTCGTTTTAGGATTCAAGCAGACTGAACTAATGGCTTAAATTCTCTCTTGGAAATACACTGCTTTTACAAAATGAATGAGTTGCTCACTTACAATGATTTCTCTAGAAAATTAAGATTCTTCAGGAACAGTTGGGTCATCTTTGCTTCAAGGTGTCCCTCTGATTTTCATTCTAAATCTGTTACAAATTGATTGCAATTGAGGAAAAAGGACATTGTACCTTCCATATTTTTCCATTTGGGTTCTGGGTAGTTTTTTTCAGTATTACATATTTCTAGGTGGGGATAGCAAATAGTTTTCCAGGTTTATATTTAGACATTTGTTTATTAAAAATTCTTTTTTTCAACTTAAGGTAATTGGTTGTGGTTATTAAATAAAAACATTTTCCTGCTTTAATTTCTGGATGTTGCATCGTAGTAAAAAGCATTTCTGTCCCTTAAGGCTATGAGCAAATTATTATCAGTCATATAAGCTACTTCCTCATTCAAAAAGTTCATTCATCCAAATCTGAAAGGGACATTGATTTTATGCTTTTATCATTACCCATAATTATGTTCATTGCTACACAGATTCTCTTAACTTACAGAATCTCTTTAGTATGGTCTTCTGTAATAGTCTATTATAATTAAGTTAACAAAAATCTATGTTATTTTTTGTTATTAAGAAAACCTTTTAAAAATTAACCCAGTCTGTTTCTCTAATATATTTGTGATTTTGTTTACATATAGTTGTTTAATTAAGCTTAAAAAAAAACTAGACAGCAAATTTACTCTATTTTCTTGAATAACAGCAGCCTCACTATCTCTTCCTGAATCCCATGCTTTTTCTTCAGACAATGCTACATGTATTTGTTTATCATGTAATAAAAGCTGTCAACATGCCCAAATTCCTCCAGGGTTTTATGCTGTGCTATTAGCTGTATTGTGTACTTTTGAAGCTGTTTTAAAGTAGAAAAAAATTATAAATATTTATTACTTGTTTTTCTTTATATGAAATATCAATCTTTAAAAGTAATTTTGTGTAGAAATACAAAATTGTATTTTACTTGATATTGCTTTTATACATTTTTATCCCCATAATTTCCAAGTAATGTCTTTATTCATCTAGTATGATTTTTATTTTATTGTTTGTTTTGTTTTTGAGACTGTGTCTTACTATGCCACTCAGGCTGGCCTCAGACTCATCAGGCCCATGTCTCATCTTACCAAGTACTATGGTTACAGGCATGCACCACCACTGTCTCATGATCTTTCCTCTGCTGTTGTAAACATGCTCCTTCAGAAGTCGGATGGCTGAATGTATTGTTGGTGTGTGAATTTGCCTTTTAATGTTTAAATCTAGCAACTCAGTTCTCCTACTCATTGAGGTTTTTACATTTGTCACAGCAATTTTCCCCTCCAGTGTACCATTCTGTCTTGTTATATACCAGCTTCAATAGCTTCTGTTGCATAAATAATGCTTTCTTTCATTTCCCTTTCTTTCTGGTTTCTTTACATTTCTTATATCCTAGTCATTGTGATGTGTATCCACCAGTGCCAAAAATTAATCGCATTCATAACTCCTTACTTTCAGCAACCAGAGAGGCAGTTTTATTTTTTTGTCGTGTTGTAGGACTGAGGGCTATAGTGCCATAGTAAAGCATGTGCAACGTCCCGAGTCCAATCCTCAGCACCAAAATAAAGAAAATTAAATCATACTTGTTTTCCTTAATCTTTTCCCATCTTCTTACCTCTAGCCTTAAGCCAAATTGAAATTAGATGCCCTTAAGTTTTACATGTGGTCTAAAACTGAGATTCATGGAAGGAACTACTGTACTATCCCAAATGTTACTTTTAGACTCTTTTTCCCCCTTCCTTGTTGTCATAATGTTTCTCTAGTTCTTTGTTCCCAAGTTATTCCTGGAATTTATGCAAATATAAGACTCTAAGCAGCTTCTACCAATTGGTTAGAAATTGGCTCTTTGGTTAAAATATAAGTGCTCTCCTTTCTTGATATCTGTTTACTTTCTTATACGAGAGAGAGAGAGAGAGGGAGAGAGAGAGAGAGAGAGAGAGAGAGAGAGAGAGAGAGAGAGAGAGAGAGAGAGAAATGAAATGCATAGTGTTTCTGTCATTCTTCTGGGACTTCTCAATGCCTAGCTCTTGTGCTGCTAGCACACCTCTCATAATGTACCCACTGCTCACAACTCTGCATGTGATTTCCTACAGTATTCAAAGGCGGACAGACATCCTGTGACTGCACTGGAGAAAATAATGGAGTCAAGTTTTGCGGGTCCCCAGTCATTCCCTGAGGTCCCTTCTCCTGACAGAGGAAGCCAGCTTGTCAAGCACCACAGGTACTGTTAGCTAATCATGGTGGGAGTGGGTGAGTTCACAGGAGAAGTTGACACATGCCAGAGGATGGCTACAGGATCCACAAGTCCCATAGAGGTGATTATTCTTGCTACCATATAACAGGCTATCTGTGGAGGTGATGTTCAGGCAGCCAATAGCCAGGAAGCAAATTCTTCAGTTTTTTCTCAGCAGCATCACTCTCTCTACAAAAGCATAAAGGAACTACTAGCTTTCATCAGAGCTGCAGGCACAGACCAGTGAGTGAAGCAATTGCACTCTGAAAAACTATTAGAAGTTTGATTTTTTTCCCCTAGTCTTCCTTGTCCCTGGTTGCAAAGCTAATGTCTAATTCTCCTCTAGGCAGCTGATGTGACATGCACCAAGAGTTCCAAATGTTCCTCACAAAAGAGAAGTTTCCAGAGACAAATCCTGGAAAGTACCCTCTCTGGGCCTGTAAGATATTCTCTTATCTGAGGAGTGCCATCTTTGTGTGTGTGTGTAAGCTGATCATAGAAACTATTTCTTTGGAGGTGAAGACCAGCTACAAAGTCAATTGATGCGTCACAGGAAATTTTCAAGCTGGGCATGTTCTCCAGCATCTTTTCATCCATATGGTTGTGGGCTATACATGAGGAATCTATTTTTAAAAATCAGTGATATATAGTCCAAACCGAAGGGTAGGTTTGGAACTAATACTAGAGCATACATCATGTTTTTGTGTACTAAAATGAATATCTTTAATTTGTAAAAGTTGTCCAACGACTGAACATTTTTTTCCTTAGTGATAAGCAGTTTTTAATATTTTCAAATCATATGTATGTGTGTATATTTTATATATAAAGTAAACTTTTTAAAGTTGCATCAATTATTTCTAGCAATAGATGATAATGTTCACTTTGTACATTAGCAAGATAGAAACGCACAACAGAAGAGCTGACTTCCTGCTCTCCTCTTCGAAAGACTATTTTCCTGGCAGTATTTCCTATGAGAGTTTCAGTTACTCTAACATTGAGCCCACTAAACCCCAGTAGCAGAAGGTGATGTTTATTCTCATACCTCTTTAGTAGTCAGATTCTAGGGTACCAAGGATTTGACAAAGAAAATAATTTCGGTATCTTCAACTTAGGATTGAAATAGTTTGCATCAGTTATTATTGGCAAGTCTGCAGTATGTCATCACTTGCATTTAGATAATTCCTGTTAAAACAGCCTTTTACTCTGCTTGACCTCATAGAAGCTGCCTTAATTAGAGAAATGAAGTCCAACATCGATAGCCTTTTAAAAGGCAAATAGTTTCTCCAAAACAGTGTCATCCTCTACTTATTCTGAAATGTATTATAGTAGTTATCTACCCTGTCAAGTAAAATAGTATAATATTATTCTGCAACATGTTATAGCAAAAAATATTTTGAATTCGAGATTTTTAAATGATAGCTTCTGCCATGTTGGAACTACAACACCACTGTGTCCAGTTAGTTTTTGTCAGTCTCCAATCCTCAGCTTTGATTGTGGTTTCTAGAACTCCAAGATTAAATGAGGGTGTCTTTAAAGACACTTCCTTTTGTTTTTTGTTTTGTTTTGTTTTATTTTGTTAGTTCAATGACATTGCAGTATCTGTTGACATAGCTTGTATGTTGATAGATGGGGAAGGGTTGATTTATGAAGTGCTTTTAGAACTTGAAATTATAGTTTAATACATCATAGCTTTTGTTTTTTAAAACATACAATAGACTAAACAGCTTTATGATTGATAACCTGCATACTGATTTATATATCCTTCCAACCACTCCGTAATTTCCTGAATGTCCCTGGGTTAGAAGGCCTGAATCTCTGATTGATCAATAGGTCTACAACTGTTTTTGAAGATGGGTCACTACTTCACACTGGTAGACCTTGTTTTGACAGTTCAGCAAGCTATGAATAATTAATTTCTTGTTGTGTACTGAAAATATGACTCCCTTGGATGCCTTATTTATGAAACAAAGCTATTAATCTGAAACCGTTATTTCTAATGTTTAGTAAAAACCCTACCTGTTTAAAAAAACTGTTGAGGCATATCATTTTATTGTATTATATTTTGGCAATCTAACTTCCTCATAACGGCATCAATATAGGTTGCCAACAGTGACGGGAGACCAGAACATCTAATGACACAGATAAGCCTTTGTATTGCCAGTTATGGCATAGTAATGAATAGAACACGTGATGATGTGTACCTCACATGTATTGACCTCACACGGGACACTTAGTGTACTTGAACTCTTTCATCTCTGATGTGAGCCCACACACATACCTTGCTTTGGCCTGTTCCCTCCCCCATTCTCATTCAAATCACTTTCTCTGCAAAGCTTTATGTATCAGGTGACCTTCAGACTTCCTGTCCTCTGGCTTCTGGTGTATCAGAGGTATGGGTGAGGGATGGAAGGCCTGGGAAAATGAGGTCATAGTCATTCTATTCCTTGCCTCAGTCATGCCCCACTCTGGTCTTCTGGGACCACAGAGCCTGCCACCTGACTTGGTCCTTCCAAAGCTGCCTCTATTCTGGAAAGTGCTTCTTCTCCTTGATAGTGATGGCTTCCTATTGTTAGTGGCCTGAGGTGCATTAATGTCATTTGTAGCTTCATTTCTTTTCTTCCCAAGTAATGACCACTGACCATACCTCTTATAATCTCCTCAACTGGTCCAAGTTAAAGAGACTCTTATTTCCCTCCAAGATTCTGGCATAGTTGTCTTCCTTAGCATCGTGTTTCTAGCAGCAGAGAGATCTGAGATTTATACCCAGATGCAGCTCACTATGGTGCAAAAGCCCCCAAATCCTGGATCCTAATTCATATGTGAATAGACAGAGTGAAGGGAGAGGAAGAGAGTCACTGTTCAAGAGCTCCTTAAAGATGTTGTCTAATATTGAATGTGATGACCATGTTGTTAGCATTTGGGGAATTCAACCTACAGCAGATGACATGGCTAACAACTAAAACATCATGACTGACATCATTTGCTGTCTGCACAAAATTGAGAAGTTAATGTCGACCTGCCACCTTAACAGAGCCACCAAGATGGCTGTGAGCACTCAAGGATCAATTTCTCAAACTCCCAGTAAAAATATTTGCAAATATTTGCAAAATTTACCAGGCATGGCAGTGCAAGCCTTTAATCCCAGCACTTAAGAAGCATAGACAGACGGATCTCTGTCAAGGCCAGTCTGGTCTATACAGCAAGTTTCACGTTAGCCAGAGCTACACAGTAATTCCCTAACACCAGGCCCCCCTTTTTTTGCTAAACACATTTTATAGTTATAAAATAGGAATAATGATAATATTGATGGAAAAAGCGACAAAACCCAAATGGTAGAATGATAGGGGTATAATTGCTTTGGGAGGCTTTCCCCCGTGAGTACACTGCTGAGTTTTGAATATTTTTCATCCTGGCCTATACAGTTGCAGTGATTTTTTTCAGATGACGTGGGTGCAGCAAGAGATTTTGAGCTCACTGTATGCTCATGAAGAACTGTTTGGACTACATGACATGCAATCTCATGGAACACATGGGTTTGAACACAGGCAACTCACTCAGTAGGATGCGGAAAGGAATCAATAAGGAATCTTTGATCAACTTCAACTTGCCAATCTATCTTCATAGAATCCAGTTCTTTTAATACAGTCTATGAATAAGGGCTCACTTTGTTAAGTCACTTAATGCCTTTTGTCCTTGATGGCCTCTACAAATGGTCAGTCATGTGGGAAGTTTGGATTTGTACAGTCAAGAAAATCTAAGCAGGTGCATATTCAAAGCAAACTCAAATGCAAAACTAGTTTCTGGCGACTGATGAAAATCTGGGATGGTAAACTGAGAATTTAACACATATTTGAAAGAAAGAATGTCAATTAAAGTAAAGCCTGTTTATCCTAACACTAAGAAATGGAAATTCTGCCATAAATCCCCTCTAGGCTTCCTGTGTTTTGTTCTCATCACTGCCTAATAAGTGCATTTTTATTCCAATTAGAAGACAGCCACTGTGGCTTGGGAAATCAGGGTGGAGGGGAACTGGGATCCTGAGGCTCCCTTAAACCCATTTCTGTCTTAGCTAGAAAGCCAGACACAGGGAATTCTTGTTCTCAAAACCTCCAAGAGTAAGTGAATTAAGCTACTTCTAATTTTATCTGAGTATATATTTGACATTCATAGCATAGAACTTTAAGGATGTGCAGTATAAATTCAATGTCTGAGACATTTCTTAGAGGTTATTATAATCTCTTTGCTTTGTTGATTTGGTTTTATTTTCCCAACTTAGCAGGAGTATTTCTTCTTGCTGCAGCCCAGGACAGAGGAGTGGGATGCTGCACAGGAGTACCTTCAGAAGGACACCACCTTCACCCCGAAGTCGACTGGGTGGGATTGCAGGACCAGCATATCAGCAACTGGAAGAGTCAAGGATCCCAGACCAGGATACGATACCTTGCCAAGGGTAGGTCTTAAAGCAAGGGACTTACAAGGGAGACTGTAAGACGTTTGACACTAGTACTGGGTGGTGGAGGCACGCGCCTTTAACCCAGCACTTGGGAGAAACCCTGTTAAAAAAAGAAAAAAAAAGAAGTTTGACACTAGGTTAGTATATAACTGTTTTTTTTTAAAAAAAGAAAAGCTTTCTTAGGATGACTAAATTATCCTTTCATCAGTAATATAGAAAAATATATTTAACTTTCTGATCAGCAGTATGAACAAAACTCTAAAATATAGCCTATAACATAAATATGATATCTATTTCCACCCAGTATTCTTGAAAGTAGGGGTTAGGTAAATATTAAGAGAAGAGAGTCACAGAGAAATGCTCAGAACTCCGATGTCTTCATTATTTGTGCTATGGAGGTATCAGGGATTTTGGACCCCATGGCTATATTGCCTACAGTACAAAGGCATCATGTCCTCTAGGTAGAACAACATCCCATGGGCTCAAGGTATAGTGAGTGAGTAGAATTCAAGATGGGTTCTAGTCACAACTATGCTCTTGGTATAAACAACTCAAGCATACATGGAATAAGTAAGTTATCATTAAAGTTGGATCCCTGTCCTTTATGACTTGTGTCAATTTCAGAAAATGTTGTCATCTGGGCTCAAGCTTTATTTGGATTTAAACCTCCCAAATATCATTGGCCATATCAAAAAAGAAGTTTTAAGAACCTGGGTCAGACACATGGTATTCACAGAAACAGTTTTTGCTGTAGTAATTCTCATAATGCTATCATTAATTTCAAGAATCTAGATTTACTCTAGATATTTCTAGAGTTGGGCTCTACTTGTGTCTAGCAGTTGACTTTCTGAATGAGCTGGACTGGGTTTCTATGCAGTTTTGGTTCATGTGACTACTTCACATCATTTGTTTCAGTCCTGAGACCATAGCAGGTAGGATGTGCAGCTCAGAGCCATTGCATTTCTCTTTTCTGCTAGATGTGGAATAGATGGACTGTTGTCCTGACTGATCAAGCTTGACATAGGTTTCTTTAAGAAGAAAGAATCTTAGGAGATGGGATATAAATAGCCTGTGGCTATACTTTGTAATTTTGGAGATATTACAAAAGGACCATTCCTCCAGATTTAAGGCATGACTGCAAATTCAGTTTGACAACTAAATTGTCCAAAATGTGTGATGCAGAAGCAGTTGGTATTTTGCTTGGCCTTACCTGTGACAGGGGGCTTCCATTTAACCTGTACCTATATTGACTCTGTAACTACTTTGTCAGTAACCAATGGTGATTCACACGAGTATGTAAATGTGCACACACTTTCTTTCCCTATGGTGAATAATAGAATGTGTGAGTGTCTAGAAAACCCATCGTGTACTGTAATATTTTTCCTCTTGGCCACAATGGCTCTCACCCCAAATGTTCCTGATGCAAGGAGACTCCGAACCTGTGGCTAGTTGTGGTTGGAATCACACATTCACAGACCTTCCAGGGGTCAAAGGATTCATTCCCTGCCTTGCCTTTTCCCTCCTGGGTCAGCATAGTTGTAATTTTGTGTTGGCTCAGTCACTACTAGATTGGCAATCATCTCTGTAGCTGGCTGTCCACATACATTTTCTCTGTGTCATATGCACCCAATGTTGATAAATGTTGACTCTGTAAGTCACTCTGCCTCAGCACAATGAATCTTGGGGAGTAATCTCATCTTCAGTTCTTAAAAACAGCTATTTTCCACTCCTGGGGGACTGACTGTCTCTTAGGACTGGAAATGGGGTTGGTAATAGAATTTCACAGCTAACATTCTTCAAATCTGCCCTTAGCCTGAAATGGGAGTGAATGAATTTGCAAGACCCATCAGCCATCTGTTACTATTTACCAAGCATGTGGTTGTTGTCTGCTAACTAGGCTTCATGTATGTGGCTTCTCTCCTGGGTAGGAAAGTCTGCCCAGCTTGAACACATGACCTACCCTAGTGCAGCAGGACTTTTATAATGGGGTAGATAGCAGATTGAGGATACCTTTCTCTGACTGGAGCTTTGGGCAGTGCCAGCCCTAGGAATGATGTACAAAGCATTGTACTGGTATGTGTCGGGCCAATTAACTGATATATTACAAGCTAATAAAAGGAAATAGATTCAGAAAAGTCAGGTTAACCTCTTCAAACTGGTCATGACCCAAAACATAGTGAGTTTTCACCTCATCTAGCTAGCAACCTAATGTACCTAACTTTTATATTCTTTGAAGATGTTATTGGTGGACACCGCAAGGATAGGAAACTTTAAATGGCCAGCTCAGTGTGACATTGGTCATGAGAAAAGTGAGATCGTGTATTAGCTTTCTGACCAAATCAGCTACACAACCCAAAAAATGGATGTGCTAAAACATACCAATGGCTGACAATGTAAAATGGAATAGCCAATTGTATGGATGGTCAGTTCTATATACCTACTATCTACCTATACACTACTATACATCTCAGAAATTGAGTCTTAAGAATCAACTAGAGAAACTAAGTCCTTGGCTTGACTCCTGACTTATGACAAATCAAAAAGACACTAATTATTGTAACCTTTCTTGACTCACAGGCTTGTGGCCTCTGATTTCTTTGAAGGGTGGTAGAGAGGGCAGTCCAAAATAATATAATGATTAGTGAATGATATCAGTATCAAACTGTCAAAGAGTTGTTGAGATTGCAGATATACAGAACTCTGACTAGCTTCTATGTCACATTCCCACCTAGAAATTTAGATTCTACTTAAGCATTTGCTGAAATGTCAGAGCTGGAACCTCTCACAGTAACCCCAGGGAGGAAGTGAGGGTCACCCTTGCCTCTGGTGCAAGAGGATGGCCCAGCTGTTTTATTTAAACCTCATAGCATCACCATCCTCCAAGTATCCAAGTAGTGTGAATTACACTGCAATACACTAAGATTATATTTACACTGATTTTTACCACTGTTTGTCTGAGAGTCTAAATCACATAATGGTGTTGGTGTCTTATTCAAAATTAAATAAACCCTGGAGGACAGCTATTCTTTAATGATATCTTTACTCTGTAGCAGAAGTTTATATTTCAGCTATTGCTAGTTATTTGGTCAGTAGCTGATTTGGGAAATGAAACAGGGTAGTTAATTTCCTCCCTCTCATTTAAGTCCTTCATTCAGTATCAGGTTGAATAGGTGAATATTTGAAGTTTGGCATTAATTGCCTTTTGTTTGGCCATGCCACATTGCTGAATCATTATAGCAATCAGTTATAAACATCCTCTAAGGTAGTCAACATTTTCCAAACAGAATTTATCTATTGGTATCACCATCACATTACAGCTTATTACATTCTATCTATAGATCTACCCTGATGACATTGATGTAGATACACTATTATTTTAGTCACATTTCTTGCCTCTTTTCTGTACGTAAATATCTGAAAGTAATATTTAAATATATTAATATATTCTGGAAGTATGGTTCCAAAAACAAAACAAGAGGGCCTGAAATTTGCTCTTTCTTTTCTGTGGAGTTGGCTTATGGATCAGACCTATTTTCTGGCATATAAGACACAGGGGTAAGATTTCATAAGGAATTTTCTTATTCATGGCTGTATAAAATTAAGCACCCAAAAGGATGTTATAATCTAGTTTATCTTAGGATGTCCCTTCATTAGCCAGTTCTGAATTTTATAGTGACAATTTGATGCTTGGGTTTAAATCCTCATTCTGTTGCTTATGTAAAGGTATAACTTGAGACAGGTCATTTGAATGCCCTTTGGAATTCTCTACTAATTTATCACATAAGAATAATAAACTAAAAATTTTTTATGAGGTAGTTAGAGAAGAAAGTGCTTTTTCAAGTCACTGTGCAAATGTTAGCTGTTATGTCTGATGTTACTTAATGAGCTCTAAAAGAGTACTTTCCTTGGAGATATATTCATTCATTAATATGTTCATTAGATCAGGTTTTATTGGTGACCAACTCTATACTGGATACACTGAGAAAAGACGTGACTACTATTTACCTCTCTTTACTCAACTCTGGTGAAACTGCTCCCACTGCGACCTCACAGCAGAGGCTTCTTTGTAGCTATGCAATCCGTTTCATTGCAACAATTCTTTACATGTATAAAAACAACTTTTATTTATGTTACAATGTAAGCCAAGCCAATTAAATCTACTACATGGAAATTAAATATATTTGACTTATGCTTACATGTTAATGCTTACTATTTAAAGATAACTCACTAAGAAGTAGAACAAAATGTACCATACAGAGTCCCAAAACTTTTCTGTAAAGTCTAATACACCTGATCCACTCATACACTGGAAAGATCAAAGGAGGAAACTCACTAGACTCAAGCAGTTCAAAACTCAGATCCTGGACTCCTTGAGTTACTTGGAATGAAATACTTGTATTTGTGACAAGCCCTTGCTGAACATCAGTGCCCTCTTTCACTGCAGGGACACCAAGGAGCACTGCTGCGTTGGGAGGGTCATAAGGAATACACTTCATATTCCCCCCTGGGCAGGGAGAGGGATTAGGCATTCCTGTTCTTGTCCTCAGGTTCAGAAATGGGCCAGCAAGCACTAGGGCAAACTGTCCACAGGTCAACCTCCCAACAGCAGTTCGATTTACCTAACCTGTGTAAAGCAGAAGCCTTGCGGACCGAAATACCTGATGGTCAATAATGGGTTTCCTGATGGCTCCCAATTATAGTGACCATACCAGTCAATCAGACAGACCCAGGGCTGAGAGAGTGGATGAGTTATGAGTGAAGTAATGCCATGGTGATGTCCTGTTTGTCACGATGGAAAAGGCCACACTTACGTGCTCAATCCCCATTTACTTTGTATTCTAGGATAGAGGTCAGGAAGACTATATCCCACCTGCCTATACAGCTGTGGTGTGTTGAAAGACCCCTGGACTTAAAGTAAGAAGATCTGGGTTTGAGTCTCAGTCTGTCACTTATTTTTCTGTGTGACCTTGGGCAAGTCACTTCACTGATCTGAATTTCAATTTACTTCTCTGTCCGTGGGAGCATAGTATCCGTCTCATGGGGTTGCTGTGAGAAGTCAGTGAGATGGTGCATGTGGAAAGTACTTTTTGGATGGTATGGTTCTCAGAGGCACAGTGGGGACCAGAATATGACTCTGTTTATCTTTTTTCAGGTATACATCCAATGGCTTAAGAACCCAACAAAATGCATCAATAAATATGCAACTGCCTTCAAGAGAAACAAACCCCTATTTTAATAGCTTGGATCAAAAGGACCTGGTGGGCTATTCGTCCCCAAGGGCCAACTCTGTGCCCATCATTCCTTCGATGGGTCTAGAAGAAACCTGCATGCAAATGCCAGGGATTTCTGAAGTCAAAAGCATTAAATGGTGCAAAAACTCCTATTCTGCTGACCTTGTCAATTCAAGTATTCCAGTCAGCGATTGTCTTCTAGAAGAACAACAGGAAGTGAAGATATTACTGGAGACTGTGCAGGAACAGATCCGGATTCTGACTGATGCCAGACGGTCGGAAGACTATGAGCTGGCCAGTGTGGAGACCGAGGACAGTGCGAGTGAAAACACAGCCTTTCTTCCCTTGAGTCCCACAGCCAAATCAGAACGAGAGGCACAATTTGTCTTAAGAAATGAACTGCAAAGAGACTCTGTGTTAACCAAGTGACTCGAGATGTAGGAATCTGTGCATTCTCTGCTTTGCTCAGCAGGAAAGAGAGGAAAATAAATACAAATTATTTATATGCATTAATTTAAGAGCATCTACTTAGAAAAAAACCAAATAGTCTGCCGCCCTCATATCATAGTGTTTTTTAACAAAATATTTTTTTAAAGGGAAAGAACCATTTCAGGAAGGATAAAGCTTACCACTAAAGCTTTTGGGGAGGATTCTGTATCCAATTTCAGTTAATCCCAACACCGTCCTCTTTGGCTCTTGGAAGATTTGGTAATTCCAACCTCTGGTCCCATAGTGCCAGTATCTGTATGGAAAAGAAACTGGTGTTCAACTAGCTTCAAAGAGACGAGCTATATCCCAAGAGTGGATGTGCCAGTGAGCAGGTAGCCCTGGCCATTTGGCTCTTGAGTTCCAACCCCTAAATTTCTACTCATCAATGCTCTCACCACAGTTTATGTCATGTCAAGGAATGTAGCGCTTTGTATTTGATTTTTAAAGAATGGCAGGAGAACATGAACAGGAAGGTAGATGGAAATAGGAGTAATCTGGGCAACCTTAGCCACTCTCATGTGCCATCTTTCTCTGTCATTTGGAAGCACAGAACCTCAGAGGGAGGTGTGAGATTCCTATAGGAAAAGAGACAAAAAAAGACAACGTTGTGCCACTTAAATCATGCTAATAGAAATGTTTTTCTTCGAGAGTGTTTAGAAGCTCTGAAAGGGCACCTCTCAGTGTGTGTGCTTGTGTGTGTGTGTGTGTGTGTGTGTGTGTGTGTGTGTGTGTGTGTGTGTGTGTGTGTGTACCTGTGTGCACAGGTGTGAGCGTGCGAGTGTGTGGGCTTGCTCACCCAAGCACATATGCTGTATGCACATGTGTTCCTTGTACGTGTGTGTGTGCATGTGTGTGCATATTAAAGCTTGCTAAAATTTGTTCTGAAACATCAGGGAATTTAATATTCAAAAGAAATTTTCCCTCTTAGATCTTTTCACTTTAAATTTTTCCATTAACTATAATTTGGGTTAGCGAGTTCTTGAACCAAGGTAACTTGCATGGTGGGGTCTTATAAAAACTCTTGACAATGTCTACACCATTTTCTGATGTGAATATTATTGAAAAGGACAGTCTTTGGCTTATTGATATCAGTATCACAAAACAAATTAATGGAGGATGTTGTATTTATTTTGAATCATTTACTTAAATTACTGACATAATCCAATTATCAAATTAACAATTGACCATTTTATTTCTTGTCAAACTCATTGCTATTTTACAGTAAGTTTGCTCTGTGTAGACAGAGGCACTGGATTCTCTGGTTAACATGGAAGGGATAAATTGTTAAAAATCACAAATCCCAGACTATTCAGTTCACAAGCAATGCCCCCAAACAGTAAATTGTGTTGTATGTTCATTTGGAATAAAGCAATATTTTTACCACTGCTAAGGTGAACTGAAAAACCTCCTGAAGATGTGTCTGTTTTATTTTCCCTTATTTTCATGGGGCATTCAAGGAAACTAGTGTTCACATACCCAGTCTTTATCTGATTATTGGTGGTGTTGTTATGTTTACACTGTTTCAATAAAAAGGCACAGTATTTGAAAGTACATAAAAGATTTCTTTTACTGTAGTTTGGGGAAAGCTTGGTTAAAATTTCAAAGCTTGGTTTCAAGCAGAGAAAACAGACAATTCTTACTTGAGGTAAGTTATTTCTGTTAAATACATTGCAAGTTGTTATCTGTGAATGTTCATTGATAATAGATAGAATACCATCCAGGGAAAAGGAAGAGCATTAAAAATCTAATCAAAGCTGCTTAACAGGAATCTGAGGTCTCCTATGTTGAAAATACATTGATGGAAACCTACGTTTTATCTGTCAAAAGTTTTGTGTCATAATTAGTTGCCATTATAGTGTGGTTGTTTTCAATAGAGCAGTAAGACTGTTAGTGCTTTCAAAAATTATGGATTTTTAATGTCTTCTCACTCAACTTAATTTTCACTTGAAAATATTTTCTATTTATGAAAATTATAGAATTTGTTTGTAGGTCTATAGGACCCTGAAAGTTGAGCATCTGCTGGAGCATTACGTTGTTTTTTACTCCAAGTATTAACAACTGTGAGGCCATGCTGCTCTATTGAGGTCGACATCGTTTGTTTTGGTTTTTTTCATTTGTTGGTATGTTTTGTTTTTTCCTTAAAATGTTACCTATTGTTTATCTAAAGGAACCATCATCTGCCTAGGAGGGCAGATATTCTGAGCAACTGAGGTTATTTTAATGTATCCTTTATACCCCAAACGTAAGATCAATGAAACAAGTCTCAATACAACAACATCTTATTTAAATAAAGGAAGGATTTCATACCATATGATTATACCACAAAACTTTCCCCCACATTCTGAAGACAATGGGTATCAGGCACATCTACTGGCCATGTTATGGAAAGTTTACAATCATTACTACTGTTTTGAACACTCAAGACAAAATCCTTCATAGAAAGAGCTACTTGTGGCAGTTTCTGTGGTCTTTGTCTCCTTTAGAAACAGGAAGCACTACTACAAAGTGTCTAAGCTCAAAGGGCACATCTTAGATCACCAGCTGACAAGTGCCAAGTGCAGATAGCACTGAGGCTTTCTACACTAACCTGACCTGGTAGATCCCTGGAGCCATCATTGCTTTGTTCTTCAAACTCATGTGCTTACAAGGACATGGTAATTTATACATCATGCCTTTGAATTTGCTTCATTTCTCTTGTCTTTATTATGGGAACCAATATTTGAATATTTGTAATTAAATAAGCTACACATTCATCTCTAACTGGAGACTGAATACAACTCATTTTTTTTTATTTTAGTCATTTCCTGGTATGTCTTTTTTAATATAAAACACTGTTGTTTTAAATTACTGGTAGCTATTGTGCAGTGCTGTAGCTCACAATATGACCAATCTTAAGTTACTAAGGTAGAGTAGAAATGATGTAGGAAAGTTAGCATCTGTGGTTTTTTTTTCTTCCTATGTATATTAAACACTTTCTTTCAGACTCTACCCTGGTAGCTACCTTGCTATCAATTAAGGTCAATTCATCACACATCACTTTTTAAGTATCAAGAGAAGAGACAGAACAGTACTGCTCTCAGGACTTCATAAAGTAGTTAGATAACACAGAGACCAAAAAGAGTAGAGGGCCATATAGACTTCAGAACACCCCTCAGTTGTGAGATGAATAAGAACTACAGTATAGAAGGGCCCTGGTGACCAGCGCTGAGCCTGCCAGTAGCCAGGTCTCCACCAGAATACATTCAACACTTGCAGCCATCACTAAACCTCTATCTTGCCATATGGTGCTATAGGAAATCATGAGTGCTAATGTGAGTGTGAGGGTGTGGGGTGAGCTCTGATTCCAGCCCTGTGAACCTGAGATTAAGTGCTAAGATACTTTTCTCAATTGAGTATATAGTATATCTAGGAACACAGGAGGTAGGGAGGGATTTTTATTTGATCTTTTGGTATCTGGGAAACATTTTATATATATATATAAAGAATACTTTTTATTATTATTCAATTGTATAGCATCACTACAGTGTTTTCAATGGATAGCATGTCTATGCTGTTTGTATCTTGTCTTCAGAAATTTAGTCCCCATTCCAAGCAAGACCAGTCCAAGGTTTCTAGACTATTCTTACTTTTGTAAACACTCAATTTTCCCTGGGAAATGAAGCTTTCAAATAAGCTTTATCTCTTCCTTTTTTCATTCTTTCCCTTTTAAAGAAATACTGAGGGTGAAGGAAGACATTCCCTCTCTAACATCTACTAATTTGTTTCCTAATGTGAATACACCCACTACATATATATATATATATATATATATATATATATATATATATATATGAACATTAAATTGGAGTGATTATTTGAGTATCCTTATCTTTGCTTCATTTGACAAATACCAAGTGATTACCTCATGGAATGCCATGAAACCTTCATGGCCAGCCAAATGGCAACATTTTGTCAGATGTTTTCAGCTTTTTCTCTTTCTTAACCAAACTGAAATATCCTTGAATTAAAAAAATTCAAAAATCCAACACTAAAATATATTAGACTTCTTTTTAAAAATGACAATTAAATGATGGGTGTAAATGATTACTCTCTCTACAGTGTATAATTATCACAAATGTGGTCTTTTTAAAAAATAAGTATACTTCTAACAATGTTTTTGACCTATGGTATAACTGAAGTCTACTAAGGGCAGAGTGTGTGGCTGTGGCAAGGAGGTCTAGCACTAATGTCGGACACCTCAGTGAAATCAGTAACACAATACTCACAGGGACTTGGTAAAACAGAGAGCAGGCTTCTTGTCCTTTGATGGTTGTTTGTCATAAATACCTGTATTGATTACACATGTATTGTTGCCAATGAAAGAACTGTGTGAAAAGAAACAATCTTATATTGTTGGAAATAAGTTAGACATACATCTTTGTGAAAGCTTCTAACTTACAGATAAGAGCAGTCGCTTGACCTCATCTGTTACATAAGGTATATGGTCTACTTCATTTTTGATTTTTTTCTTTCAGTCAACCACCTTGTTATCTAGTCAATCTAATTCATATTTTGACTGGTCAACTTATATACTCATTCAACATTATTCTGTAAGTAGTTCATGCCTAAAGATCCATCTCAGAAAATCTCACAAAGGTTGGAACCTATGTATATATCTCTGAATAAGATTGGCATTTGTAACAGCACATGCCATGGAGTAATTGGATTGTTTAAGGTAAATTTACCAAGATCAGGTGATAAAGAAAAGATAGCCAAGAAATACCTGATTCTAAAGCTTGAGATTCAAGGGTCAAACTTTGCTTCATGATTGTCCTAAAGGAAATGTGAGAGCTTATCAAAAACAGAGCAATGCCTCTCCATAGCAGGCATGAGACTTTGACTATGTCCTTTAGTTATAGAAGTAGTAGTCAGACTCATTTGCTACAAAAAGTAAAAGATATATAGATATATAGATATATAGATAGGTGCTCTCAAGTATTTGTATCTCACGTTCCTTTGTCTTGAGAAAGGGCCCTGCCATGTGGCTCAGGCTATCAGTGAACACACAATCTTCTGCCTCAGCTTACTGAATTTGATTATAGGTGTTTGCTACTACCCCTGGTACAACTCAAACTTTTTAACATAAACCCTCTAAAATTAAGTAAATTCTCTGTTGAAACTTAGACATTGAATTTCATAATAATCCTAACTTTGAGGGTACCAAAAAGCAGTATGTACTTATTGGCTTTTGTCTATGATTGCTGTTTTGACAAATCAATACCAATATGCTTCTTCAATACCATCCAGACTAGCACTGATTCTTCTGTTTATAATTTGTTTTGCTCAAGAGTTCATAAAGTCTGAATTTTTTTTAGTATTCAATAAAACAATGTGAAATGTTAAAATATTTGAATCAAAGACATTAAATTTCAGTTGTGTTGTGATTTCAAGTTATAAGGATTCTATGCAGTAGTTTGCAAAATCAAACTGCGGGGAATCTCACATTTTTTGGACTTGAATTTGATATATTTAGAGGTCTGGTGAATCCAAGAGAACTGCAATGTACTCTACACTGATGGTATGTTTTTTACAGTAAACAAATTGAAGGGCTTTAGAAAATACATGCACACAGAGCACTAAGCTATGTTAAGTGTTAACCCCATGAAAGCCTTGGATTCAGTATCTCTTTTTAAGAAATGCATGCACCAAGAATGTGTATTGTTTACTCTGACTTTTATCACAAGGATCACTATGTGCCATTGAGCGCTGTCTTTGTCAACAAAAAACTGGAGGACAGATACATTTTTTCAGACAGAAACAAATAGGAAAGCATAGATTCTCATCCTAAAAACTGCTACATCTTCACCTGTGGCCATTGCATATGTGCAAGGAGAATTAGAAGGAAATGCCTTGGATCATGGTTTTCACAAATATGCAATCATGCATGTGAAGTTAAGCAAATGCCTTCTTTAAACTATGGTCAAGAGAGTGAAATAATGAACAGAAGAGTATGAAAATGTTCATTTGTCATTTTAAACATTTATTCAAAAACAGTTCCTTTTTTCTGTGATAATCTTTTTCACTGAAGAGTGTTCATTCATCTCTATTTTATATTAAAAAAGCAACAAGTATGAATGGCATAAGGTACTCTGGGGAAAATAGACTAGTCTAGACATACATCTCTCACCATTGAGTAAAGTTTATCTCCATTTCACCTCACTTTTTATGAGTGGCAATCTATCCTGCTGAATATTAAAATCTTACACAAAAATTTCAAAATCAATTTGCATTGTGACTTCATTAGATATATTTTTATCCGGCGGGAAAGCCTGGCCATCACCAAGCCATATGAGCTCCTTGGGAGCCTTTGTTGCATCAAAGCCTTCAGGTTCTCTTAGGTTGAGTTCTTTCTGCATGTGCTTCATCTAGCTTTG